AATTCTGCTCGAGGGGAGGCTTTCTCTGTCGGCTCTGGAGGAAGGTCCGTGTCATCAGTCTTTCCTTGGTCTGGGAGCATCTCGGCGCAGGAACCTCAGGTCCAAAGGATGTGCTCTGCTCTTGGCACTACTTTCTTGGTGGTATGAGGTTCCCATGTCTCTATGCTCGCTTCTCTCTTTCATATCTCAGAAGAGATTGGCTTAGACACTATCTAATCTTATAGATCTCATCAATATTACTGCCACTAATCCATCTCACTACCTCATACTGATAGGATTTACAACATGTATGGGAATCACATCAGACGACAAAATGGTAGACAATCATACAGTACTGGGAATCATGACCTAGCCAAGTTGACAGACATTTTGGGTGGACACAATTCAGTCTATGATGACATTAAAACAAAAATTTAAAAAACCTTTATTTTAATTATCTGGATAATTATTCGTGATACTCAGTGACATATTCTGATTAGTTTCTTAGCCAATTCTGTCTCTAATATCATGAAACTGGTACTTTTTTCTGAAGAAATGTAACTTCTATGCGGTCTTATTATGTTTTCTTTTGTAAAATTGTCTCCTTTGTAAAATTGTCTCCTTCAGAGTTGCATTCTATGGTTAATACGTTTGAAATTGTTGGCACTTTTTGTATCCTATAATATTTTTGATTGAAAAAATACTCTACATTTGCTGAGGCACCTTAGTAAAGAAAGTTCTTCTAAATGAAGAACATTCTCAATTCTAGTTATTTTCGTATTGGAATATGTAACCATTTCAGCCTAGATCTTTTCAAGTCATTTTCTTTTGACTTCCATTCAGAATATTTTTCTTTGGCACATGTTTATAAGACAAAATTTGTCAACTAAGTTGTCTCTATGATTTTTTTTATCATTTGACTAAATTTAGATGCTGAAAATGGTAAGCCCTCTCGATTTCATTCCATTCCAGTACAGAATATAAATTTATCCAATTAGCAATAGGAGTTCCATTAAAAGATTCTTTCTACAAGTCAAGATATTCCCAATCGATCTCTCATTATTTAATTTGTTTAGTCCTTCCCTTCCTTTTGTAGGGATAAATTTCAATGTCTTCTTGCTTGCAAGTGTTGCTTTCAATAATTGAAATTCACTAAAAGCATCAAAAGCTGAAGTTTCTTACTGTCTTATTCATTGAATGCTTGGATGAAAGATTTCCAACTGATTTTGAACAAAATACCACCAAAATGTAGAGGTGCCATTAAAAAAATTCAGTACCAGTATAGGTTGATTTTCAAAGGCTCAAACATTTTTAAAATAAGATGATGGACAGCAAAGAGAGAAAACCCAAAGTGTCATGCTGAAATTTCTTGTTCGGTTTTTGCCATTTCAGCATTTTTTATGTGTACAATTTAGTGACATTACTTACTTTCACCATGTTGTGGAACTATCACCAGTATTTGTTTCCAAATTTTTCCATCACCCGTAACAGAAACTCAGTCATCCCCTGAAGAACAATTCTCCCTTTCCCCCTCCTCCCACCCTTGGTAACCACTAATAAACTTTGCTCTCTATACTTTTGCCTATTCTATATATTTCACATAAGTGGAATCATACAGTATTTACCCTTTATGACTGACTTATTTCACTTAGCATAATGTTTTCAAGGTTCATCCATGTTGTAGTGTGTATCAGGGCTTCATTTCTCTTTATGGCTGAGTAGTATTCCATTGTATGGATATACTGCATTGTCTATCCGTTCATCTGTTCATGGACACTTGGATTGTTTCCGTCCTTATGCTATTGTGAATAGTGCTGCAATGAACATTGGTGTCTTCCAGCTTATTTTAATAAAAACAGAAATTGTATTACCTTGTAAAAAATGAAAATCTGATGTGGAGAAATTGGAACCTTCATCCACTGCTGGTGGGAAGGTAAATTGGTGCAGCCACAGTGGAAAAACAGTTTGGCAGTTCCTTAAAAAGTTAAACACAGAATTACCTTATGACCCAGCAATTCCACTCCTAGGTATATATCCCAAAGACTTGAAAACAGGGACTCAAACAGATAAATGTACACCAGTGTTATTCACAATATACATTGAGCCAAGCCAGGGTTATTTTTTACTTTGGGGAACTATTTTGATTTTGTACCATATCTTGAAAACGCTGATGGGTGTGACCCAGTTTCTCCGTCTGACTGCCTTTCTGCTGTAGCCGCATGGAGGTTCTGCAGAGCTTTGTGGAGCACCTGTGGATTTGTCATGTGCTATCTCAGGCTCATAGCATAGGAATGAGGGTGTAGCAGATAAGAAAACTAGATTAGATGTGAGTTCATTGTTGCCATTAACTAGTTTGGAGACCTTGATTGGGCCCACTGAGAGGTATACATAAAGTACTATGTAAGTCAAGGAGAAACTACATCTTGCATGGAATATATTCTTTTTGTCTTTTATAGTTTCAATGGCCTTGTCTCTTGTAAGGGGTATAGACCTAGGTCAGGAATGATGTTGCAAATCAGACTACCTATTGCTTGGATGGAGGCCTGGTCATTAGCTGGGGAAACTGGTTTGCTCAGATCCCATTAGGAACCTCTTCATCACCTCTCTTGAGTATGGACAAGGAGATGGAGCACTCATTGGACCTGTCAAATCCCAGCAATACTAACTGGCTGCATGAGCCTGGGTCAATGGTCCAGAGGATAGGACTGCATCCCTTCCAGGTCTCTAACCGTATGGTGACTGATGTAGAAGGAAAAATGGGAACAACACTAACAAGGGCTCAGGGCTAATTTTCCAACTCCTTCCTTCCTCTATACCCAGATCCCCACTCTGGGGCCCAGTTCTTCCCCGGGAAAGTGGCTTTGCAGGATTTGAGATTGCCTAGAGGCATCCTACTAGGAGGGAGTTATATCAAACAAATTTGAGCTGCAGTCCATGCTAACCTCCTGGAGACCTAGGGTTGCATAAACCAAACAATCTGGATTCTAAATATTTCTCAATCCAATATACCTTAGTTCCTCCTAGTTCTTCCTAAAAGCCTTTCTACTATTCTTCTCCTAACCACTACACTGTAAGTTCCATTTGACCATATCCTCAGCACTCAGTACAATGCCTGACATGTAATTATTGTTGTTGTTGGTTGCCGTCTAGTTGAGTCCGACTCGTAGTGACCCCATGTGTGCAGAACAGAACTGCTTTGTAGCGTTTTCAAGGCTGTGACCTTACGTAAACAGTTCGCCAGGCCTGTCTTCCAAGGTGCTTTTGGGTGGGTTTGAACCACCAACCTTTCAGTTAATAGTTGAGCGCTTAACCATTTGCGCCACCCAGGGAAGCCCTGGCATATAGTAGAGACCCAATAATTAAATGAATTAATGCAGTTACAACTGACAAGGAATTTACAAATTAACCTAAGAATTATTATTAAAAAGTTTTTGGCAATGACCACTAGGTGGCTCTCATTTCCCTAAGTCCCAATGGCTGCTCCAGGGAAACTAGACACTGAAAAGACCTTAAGAGTTTTTGTGTGTTAGATTCTTGCCCTTTACCACACTATTAGTTTATGACAGCCAGGGATAGAACCTAGCTCACATCTGAAAATACCAAGACTATGAAGTAATATCCCTTACTCCTTGAGGCACCGACCCTAACATGGCCCTTAGGGCAATATCCTGGCTTGCATCTATTCCTTAAACTTGTGTAGTAACAAGCTTCACATCAAGCTGAAACATTTAAACCACATACAGTTTCTGGCAAAGCAGACTGAATCTCAGCAGACCTGAGACCTCTGCCAGTTGGTGACAACTGAGCTAATTTTTCCTGAACTTTTGTGATTTCTGCAGTAGTTCTCAAAGTGTGGTCCCTGGACCAGCGGCATCAGCATCACCTGGAAACTTGTTAAAATGCAAATTCTCTGGCCCCACCCCAGACCTGTTGATTCAGAAACTCTGGGGGTGGGACTTCATAATCCAAGTGTTAACAAGCTCTCCAGGTGATTCTGACGCATGCTAAAGAGTTCTCTGTGCCAGCAAAAAGTCTAGATTTCCTAAATTCCAGCGCTGTGAGGACACTGCTGACACAGTGCTCAATGACTGTTTGTAACCTTTTCTGGATTAGTTATTTCAGGGTGGTTTAAGTAGGGTGTGGGTAATTTAGGCACAGTTGTTACAAGGTGAAAGTAATACATTCCAGGAAGGTTCTGCTATACTGAGTTTCTCTGGTAGAGGTGCCCAGCCCTTCACCTTGTTTATACCGTGTCTCACAGGTCACTGGCTCTCATCCCCGACTACACAGTCAATCACCTGGAGAGCTTTAAAAAACAAAACACAGAAAGTCTCTATGTCTAGGCTCCATCCCAAGATTCTGTTTCATTTGGTCTGAGGCGAAGCCTGGGCATTAGTATTCAAAGTTCTCCAGCACTGAGAACCAAACCACTGCCAGAGGTTGACAGGCACAGGGAAATTAACTGTGTATGTGGCGGGGGTGGGGGGCAGTGTGGAGCAGCGGTGGGAGTAATTATTTCATGGCAGCAAACCAAAAAACCAAACCCATTACCATCAAGTCGAGACCGACTCATAGGTACCCTATAGGACAGAGTAAAACTGCCCCATAGAGTTTCCAAGAAGCGCCTGGTGGATTTGAACTGCTGACCTTCAGTTAGCAGCCGTAGTTCTTAACCACTACGCCACCAGTGTTTCCATTTCATGGCAAGATCTTCTAATATAAAGAAAACATGGTGGAGAACTAGAAGATTATTAAGCTATATAGTCTTCTCCAACCCCATCCTTTCTTCCAGAAAGGCATAATTTACATTCAAGTCTATTTCAGTGGTTCTCAAAGGGTGGTCCAGAAACCCCTTGGGGCCCCCAAGACCCTTTCACGGGGTCCAAGAGGTCAATTTGCCTTTTTCATTCTCTCAAGTTTACAGTGGAATTTTCCAGAGGATAAACGACATATGATGATGTTACTGCTGACAGCTAACAGAATGTGCTGACAGCTAACAGAATGTGCTCGTTACTTTTGTATTTAAAATTTTTTTAGTTTCTCATGTAAGTATCAATATAGCCCAGAAATATAAAAGCTCTTTGGGGTCCTCAGTAAGTTCTAAGAGTGTAAAGAGGTCCCGAGCCCAAAAAGTTTGAGAATCACTAGCCAGAATCTATGGACACAATTAGGTTAGCCGAACTTACCTTCTAGAAACCCTAGTGGTGTAGTGGTTAAGAGCTATGTCTGTTAACTAAAAAGTCAGCAGTTCGAATCCACGAGACGCTCCTTGGAAACTCCACGGGGCAGTTCTACTCTGACCTATAGGGTTGCTATGAGTTGCAATCAACTCAATGTCAATGTGTTTGGTTTGGTTTAATTTACCTTCTTAGCAGTTGGTTATGATGTTAATAAACTTGATGAGGGAACATCTGCTATAGCAGTTTCTTTGGAACTATTGAAAATGATAGTCACTAAAAACCAGTAGATTAGGAAAAAATTAAGGGAAGCAACAAGTGGCCTCTCTGGGACTGTGAACCCAAACATGAATTACTCCATAAATGCTTACCAGAAATGGGTTATGGGAACCGAGAGGTTCTAGAACTGGCTGTTTGTTCAGATAAAATGTGCAGTGATGTTCAAGGCCTACTACTCACCCGGTTCCACACTCATTTATGAGCCCCACATGGTGTGTGATACCCACCCCATCTCCATGTAATTCCTAAAATTAGAGACATAAGCACAAGATCGTCATTCACTTTTCCGCATACTTTATTTGTTACAAACATACAATTTTTTAAATATAGACTGTAAAACTCCATTTGCAAAAGTCTATTATAAGGAGTGCACACCAGCAGGAAGGATTCTTGAACTTTTTTCTCTGACTTTTTCTGTCAGTTTTGCTTGTTAGTGGTAAATACGGGACCCACCATTTTACAGACCTGTCTGAAGCTTCTGGCTCTTTTGAAGCAGCACTGCTTGTCTCAAAATTAATCAGTATCTGAGCTTCAACCTACAGGCTCGTCTGGACTCTGCTTTTGAACTGTTTCCAGGAAGTGATTGCTGAATGGGTACTGCACTTATGTATTTGTTTGAATTGCCCACATGGCTGTTTGTTAAAGTGCATTCTTCTTTTAAAAAATAAGCAAGAGGAACAATCTTTACTCTTTAACCAAGGTACTTAAAAAATGAACTTTTTGGTCTCTCAGCAGATATTCCCAAATTGATCGTATCACTACAAATGTTAGTGTTCTATTTACAAACATTTATAGGGTTACTAGTGGAAGGGACCTTATAAAATTAAAGGTATTGCTTCTCTTGAAGCAGAAACAAGTTCTACAAATTCATACATATGAATACACAATTTGTTTACAATGCACAAGCATGTGGATATTTACACACAGATTGAAGACAAAAAAAACCAAACCCCTTTAAAGTTATTTCCAACCTAAACTCTAATCTATGTAGATCAGGAAGCTGTCTCCTGCTATCAAGATTTGGTTTTAGTTCATTCAGATTACTTCTGTAGATTCTATACTGGCAGAACATCAGTCCCAGCTCTGGAGTGAAGAATCTACTCTAAGGAAGTCACTAGTAGATATGGTTGGCAGTGAAGGTTCCTACAGAATGGAAAGTGTGCTATCTGGAAATGTATCAGAAGATGGATTTTTAAAACAATCTTAGAAAAAAGTCTGCAGGAAGGTCTAAAAGGAGAATAAATCCCTACTACTATAACTATTCTGGAACTTTAGAAAAAAGAAGTCCAAATACATTGATAATCTTAGTTATTATTCAAACGTTGGTGAATCATTAAAAAAAAAATAACTCAAACATACTTGCCTGCTACTGTAACATGTCTTGTACTGACATAAAGTCAGTTTCTAGACTTTCTGCCCAGTCCATTCACTCCTGGAGAGCTTTTGTACACAGGGGCTGGAAGAAAAGGATTTGTCCAATACTCTATCAGTTTAAAGTAAAACCCCCAAATTCCTACAACACAAATGTGCTTAGTGATACATAATCCTGGGTTTTCACTTTTCTTGGGACTCTTTCTGCAGTTACATGTTTCTGAAAAGAAGACTTAAAAAGAGAAGAAACAAACCACTTGCTATTCTATTTCCAACTATAAAGATTTTTCTAACCAGCCTAATCTTCCAACATGAGGGTAAAACTAGGGACAAAATAGTTTGCCTTTAAGAAATAAGAGTCTGAATCAGTTTTCTCGAGTTAGCCTTTGAAGAGTTATTGAACGTAGGGGAGAAAAAGGACCAACTCATGCCTTCTGTGATATGCTAGTGGACACTGAACTGAATCAGTCTATTGCTTTCTTTCCAATACTCTGGGCCCACATTTCACATTTAACCATACTACAAAGATATATAGTCAGCCCTCTCTTATCCATGTCAATGGACATTAACTGTAACAGGAAAAATGGAATTTGCTTCCTCATTTCACTGCTCTGCCTTCCTCTTATTAGAAGTCCGACTGAGCAGTGAAACTACCACTATGGTATTTGCTGTTGTTTTAACAACTGTATCTATCCCAGTTGGAATGTCTAATTCAAGAGGCAGGAGTCCGATTTTCAAATGAAAGTAACAGATTGTGGGTAAAGGCGTAACATTGATGCACATTCCCTATTTCGTTAGGAAATATAAAATACATTCATAAAGGTTTGGATGTCAACTGGGAATCACTAGGGTAAGAAGTCTTTATGATGCAATTTTATTTTTTTCATTTTCCAAATTTAATTTTCCATACTGACAATCAGACCACATTTGCTGAAGTAAGTCTGTTAAAATCACAGGCAAAGAAACTAAGTTTCAAGACTGAAGGCTGGGAAAGGGGACATTAACTAGATAGCAAAGTTTGATATATTAATAATGTAACTAACCATTCAAAAGTCTGGCTATCTCTTGAAACTTCTGGGGGCTAACATGTGAAAATTAATGACTATTTTTCTAGGTTAAAAACAATGAAAATGAAGTTATAATTTGCCATTTCCACCTTACATCTGGATTTTCAAATAGGACATATAAGATACCCTTTTTACTTTTTTGCCTATTTTTAAGGTATATGTAGTTCTTTTTTTCTTTTTTCTTTTCTACAAAGTATCTCCCTCCCCTCCCCAGCCCCACCCACATACCCATTATCCAGTTTATTCAATGGGAATAGTAACTCTTTAGGAAGACAGCTATTGATTTACAGTACTCTAAAACCAACCCTGAAAACAGATAATCTCATTCACTTACTACAACTTCAGTGCTGTTGTTGACAGAAAAAAAAGTTACCTTAAGGCTCAAGGGAAAGTATTAAGTTGTGAATGCAGCATTGTTTACTCTCCCATCCATTGGAAGCTAGCAAAATGCTTTCTGGACCAATAATACAAACTTTCTAACATTAGCAAAGATTTCCACTCTTTACACAAAGTTTGAACAATATTCGTAAGCAGATTAGCAAGGGCAGCCTGAGAAACCATGATCCACATCACACAAAGATTCCATGTATTTCATGATCAAAAAGTGCTTTATCTTTGAGAAATATGCCAGGGTTAAAATGGAAATATACAATGTAAAATCACTTGAAACTTTTTCAAGTGAAGTACAAAGTGAAAAAGGAGCAAAAACATGAAGGCTCTGCTCTCTGAACAGGCCTTATGCATATGACTTTTAGGGTGAACTAAATTAAAATTGTTTTAAGAATTAACAGTGGGATTTTAAATCCACTACATTCTAAAACCTGAGATTGGACATCAAAGCAGTCAACTGTTACTCATCAGAGCAGTTCTGATACTTCCGAAAAATAGAAGACAACTCAACTGAATTAATAACTACACGGTCAAAAGCATTAACTTTACCCGATCAAAAAGGAGACCTATCACAAATACATTAGATACTAAGACTGCTGCAGAATTATGACTCTCAGCAAATGAGTCATTTTTACATAAGCAAAAAAGTCACTTCTTCCCCTTCTCACTGATCAAGGCCACACTATTTTCAAATGAATATCTACTGAGAGATCAGTTGTGCATTGGACAAAGTACCATAATTGGGTTAGAAATGAAAACAAAATTTACACTGAAGAATACTTATATGCATGGCTTACACACTCAAGCCTCTCCTTAATTTCATCTACCTCAAGAGCAAGGGAGATGAAAATAATCACCTTTGAATACCTTGTGTAGATCACATTCTACACCTCTGTAAAGCCAGAAAAGGTCACATTTACCAAAGCATCCTTAGCAATTATGGTGCCTGAAATGTGCAGCCATTTACAGACCACTCAATATGAGGGCTTTATTATAACCAGCCTCTTCTGCCCACAACCCTGCATTTTCAGATAAGACAGGAAAATTGTTTTGTTTTGAGAACGGAAGCCGGAATCTTTTAAAAGACCTGCAATTTATTGCAAAGTGATCCAGAGTTAATGAAGGAAGCAGGTTAATGGCTGCCTGCACCTAGAACCTCTCAATCATTTTGCAGTAAATAATTATGAAAAGTGACTTGACAAGTAGCCATGTGTGTATTACAGCTACAGTCATTTACACCACCTACATGCCTCAATTATTTACACAGGGTGTCTGGTTTTTGGTTTGGTTTTCACTTTGATTTTTGGTGCCATACAGATTTACATTTTTTGTGCAGCAGATGCACTGGAGTTTGCTGAACAAAACTGCCACAGTTCCATTTGCTGAATGACTGGTAGGGACAATAGAAACCAGAAAGGAGTATTAGAATCTCTTTATAGATTTTTGCTCTTTTGATTCTGTTCCTAAAATTTGACTTCTCACCTCTGCAACTGTGGTAGTTTGAGAAACAAACCTTTCACCAATTATTTCAAAAGAAATTTTGGTTCTTACTTCTCAGGAATATGACTATTCTGAACATGTGATTAGCTGCGATGCTTGCCAAAGTTAAAAAACATGCCCTGAATCACAGTTCATAGCAGCGGTTGTTACAATACCATTATCTGACTGGATTTAACAAAGACCATTTACTTTCAATAAACTAATATTTATGAATGAGTTCTGAAAGATGGCCTGTTAATACCACCTTGTTTAACAAACCACGCAACATTTTCCAAAAATCCAGTCTCTCTGCTTTGCAGATTTCTATTGTCCCAGTCACTGGAATGAGGGTCAGTGAAATGCTACAGTTAATCTACAACCTCTGCAGTCTTCCTGCAGTGGGAAGAGAGGCCATGAACTGCAGGAGAAACAAACCTTCAAGATTGGCTAAGACTTGAAAACCCACCACTATGACATTTACCACTTAATCCTACATAGGCAGGTCAAAATTTTAATATAAATTACTTTTCCAACACATAGCTTATGCATTCTTTGCTCCTTTTTTTGGAGGATTATCAAATTGACATCTAAAGATTTACATATGATATATTACTGTTATATGGTCTAATGACTAAGAAAATTTCTCTGGTAACCAAAGCTGATGCCATATATGGTAGTGTTCTTGGCATATACTCTATATGCCTCAGACAACTTCCACATTCTTTCTATTCAGCTAATTATAGCTTAGTAGCCACTGGTAAAGGATTGTGAAGAGCCTGTCATTTCTACAGAATAGAAAAGGCAAGGCTAGTTACTGCAATTCAGCCAAACAAAAAGAAAACAGAATAAACCAACCCCTTGAAAAGGAGAGGTACTGCACCTTTGCAAGTTGAACTGGCTCACTGCAGCTAAGCAACAGAACCACCACTGAAGCAAGAAAACAAGTGGGTTATACAGGAATTGTACATGGTTTGAAAATGAGAAAGTTACAGCAATCAACTAACAACTGTAACCTTAATTTTCAATGCTGCCTCAAACTTTGACACATAAACAGTTTCTGCAAACCTAATGCTAACTTCTCAGCTCCTTTACTAAAACTACTGAGGGATTTGTTCTCCGCAGCAAAGAAATGAACACTCAAAACACATAGGTAAATACAGCAGGACATTATTGAAAACAGCTGCCTTGTAGTACAAAATACAGTACGTATAGGGATGTAATTAAAACATCAAAAATACTATTGCTCCCATACAATTTAGGAAACATTCTTTGCAACGGAGAAAAATTTTTTTAAAAAAGAAGAGCTTAAAAAAATGTTTAAAAAGTCTATTGTGGATGATGAGTAGAGAAATAGTCTGAAAAGGGCACCAATGTTTGTGGCTCTTGCATTTTTTGTTTTTAAGTCTAAGATTGACAATATCCTGGATCCCAGTCTAATTTTTAAAAAGCCTAATTTTATATACACTATTAGTACTCTCTCAGCCACATATGCATGAAAATGACCTTTTTGTATATTACTTATTTCCCAATAAATACAAAGATTGTATAGATTGAATAATACCAAAATAAGATAATAAAAAGGGTATGCAATAAATTAAAAAGGCAGCTCAAATAAAGGGCAGGCATGCAGTTAAAAAAAAGTAAGATTATGGAGGTGGGGTTACTTGCCTCCTGGGTGAGAAGGTGTCACACAAGTAATAATACCTGAAAACTTTGGAAAGAATATTAGATCCCATTCAGTTCAAAGTTACATAGGTATATAACATTTCTAGGAATATCTTTTGATGGGAGTGGGATTAACTTGATTAGTAAAAATCGTTTCTACTGAGAATCCATTTAAAATATAGAGGAGGTGATCCTTGAAAACCCCAATTTTTATTCCTGAAAGACGGCTGGATAAACTGGCAAAAGCCAGTTTGTTGAAATTTCAAGATGATATAAAAATGCTTCCAGGATATAGTCAGCATATTCATGTTCACTTCAGCTCTATTTAGAGATGGATTTCAGCTTCCATCAGGTGTGCTGCTTTGAATACATCCATCCATCATTTGCCAACTGTGATTATGAGGTACTGACATAATGGATCAAGTTCTTAAAAATTTTAAAAGAATAAATGATGCTGGAATTCTGGACCTGAGGCTCTTTAGTATTTGAACACGTCCACAGATTAAACTGAAGGTAAATGAAGACTTCAGTTTTGATTATTTCCAACTTTTCTGTTAGGCTGTACATTCTATTAAAGCTCAGGCTTGTAGCCACACTGTTAAACTTTTGTAGAAATCTTCAAGTTTTATCGTTTAAAATCCAGCCAACCAGAGGCTGAACCAGCCGAATTATCCATAACTGAATGGCTCCATAGGGATCTGGATCCCATTCATACCTAAGCCATTTCTTGGTAATGACCTCCATATCTGGAGATCAGGGGAAGAACTTTAGTGAGCAGTAACCAATCCACTCAGTTTTCCTTGTGCTTTATGCCTGATTTCTTCTTGTGCCTACCTCAGCAACCAGCAATGTTTTTTTTCTTCAAAATGTTCTGCCAACTTTTAAACTATTTTAGTAATGGATTCTAGTTCAAGCATTGATATCTGAATTCATTTGCATCCAGAAAACAATTCTGCAAAGAAAAGACATGGGCCTTGGTCCACGTTCCATCCAAAACCTTAAAAAATGGATCCAATCTCTTTCTGTATCCTCTAGTGGCATTTAGAATTCTTATTTTGCCCTGCCCATGATTATTTAAAGTTGTGTTCCTTTTAGTAAAACCTGTACTCTCAGAACTGGGTAACTGCAAAGACTTCTCTCAAGGATTCCATGAAGACCTAGATCCAAAATGCTGATTTCAATGGAAGTGAGGGATAGACACTTAACAGCAAGGTCTGGAGAGATTTTTTTTTTTAGACCAGATTACCCAGGTACAACACAAACACAACTGTCATCAGTGGGTCTGGGTAACTCCGATGTTTCTCTTGGCCGATATGTGAGGATCTGTCCCTTCCAGGGTTATCCCTGGGGGGTTTAGGAACCTCAGTTGGTAAAAGAAAAACAGAAGCTGAGATTTTGTTCAGGTGAGGAGATGCTGTTGTCCTCTCTCTGCAGGTTGCTCTAAGTCCCTTGGAACTTTACTGCTCTCTTTTGTCTGTGACTGTTCTCTTATGGTTCTTTTGATTAACTATATTATTTTTTATTTTCTCTCTCTGGCGCCTCCCTTGCTCCTCCTCCACTGTCATTTGGAGAGAAGCAGCAAAAAGAGCTCTCTAGACAAGAGGACGTTGGTGGGGTGCGGGAGGCCTGTACGGGAAGCTGCCCGTTTCAATCCTCATCCACCTCCTCGCCTTCAGACTCATCTCCACCGCCGCTGCCCCCGCGTCTTTCATAAAGCTTATCCCTCTGCCGCTCCTGGATTTCTTTCATCTCATCTGCATACCGGCAAAAGGCGCCTCCGAACTTGCCCCAAGCCTTGAAGGGGACGGTGATGGCATTGCGGTAGGACGGCTTCACCTCACTTACTCGCAGGAACACCCCGTACTTGTTGCAGCCCACGTCGAAAAAGAAGCGCTTGGAGTCCACAGTGATGGAGGTGCCTTCCGGGAGCTCCCCGTACAGGCCCCCTCCGAGTCCCCCACCGCCGCCTCCCGGGCCGCCGGCCAGCTCCTCCTCCTCGCCTCCGTAGTCGTCAATGAGCTTGGCCAGCGCGTCGCGGAACTCGATAAGGCCCTGGGCAGGCAGGGCGATGGTCTGGCCGCTCTGTAGGCCCCCGGGGCCCCCGCTGAACCCGCCGCTGCCCCCGATGCGGTTGATGGTCTGGCGAATGCGCAAGAAGCGGCCGCGCTGGTTCTCCTTGAGGTCCAGGTAATACTTGCGGTTCTCCCGCACCAGAAACTCGCTCTTGAGCGCCCGCCGGGGCCCGCCACCATCCTCGGCGCTCGCCGCCGCCGCAATTTGCTCGGGGCTGCTGGGCCCTAGCTGCGCGTAGTGTTCGATAAAGTCCCCCAGGTAGTCGCGGAACTCGGCGGCAACGGCCATGGAGAGGGTGAGACGGCTTTTCGAGCCTCCAGCGCCCACCTCGGCGATCTTGAGGAAGCGGCCTTTGGCGTTTTGCTTCACGTCCAGATAAAAACGCTTGTTCTGTATGTCCAGGCGCTTCGAGGCCAGCTCCTGGGTTTCCTGCTCGCCGCCGCCGCGGGACGCGGGCTGGAAGCCGCAGCCACCGGGCCCACCGCCCCCACCGCTGCCGCCTCTCTCGCTGCCGCTGTCGCCGTCCGCCATCTTCTCACCCTCTGCCTCCGCCACCACAGCCTCAGCCTCCGCCGCAGGCCCCGTTGCTCTCCCGCCGCCGCCGCTGCTGCCCGCCACGCTCGCGACCCCCTCCCTCCGCCCCTGCGGCTCGCTCTCCGCTCCCCCCACCCCCCAGCCTTCCTCTCCCCTTGGCTCGCTTACGCGCACCCGCTCCTCATCGCGAGCCGCCACCACCTCCCATCTCTTCCTCTTCCCCCGCCCCCGTGACTTCCGTACGCAACCCTGGCGTCTGCTTCCGGCGCGCGCGTCCTTCTTGTGACGTCACTCCTCCCTGCCTGACCGACAACCTCGAGGCCGGAAGACGCCGCTCGGCGAAGTGCGCTGCGCATTGAAGTGGCACGGCGCAAGGAAGTGACGTCGGGGGATGCGGGTGGAGAATCTGGAGGGAGGTCCGCCCTCTTGCTGATGGGGCGCGGGGTGGGCGGTGAACTGGTTAGGTGGTGTTGGTGATTGCTCCGTAAATTGACTTTTTAAGTCGTATTATGATTTATATCTTCACTGTTCTGTGCTCCCCCGTACCTCCCTCCTTCCATGTACAATTTCAGTTTAGAGTTGAATTTCGTCTACATCCACTCTTTTCCAGTGCATTCATTCAACAAACATGGTTCATTGCTTGCCCGCCCTCCCGCCTGCTTCTGCGTGCTGGAAAGACAACTCACAGTGCGTAGTAAACGTACTCTACGGTGAAAGGGGCTAGGGAAGGGGTCCTTGGGAGCATCTAGAAGGGGTTTCTAACTGGCCTGTTGGGAGAAGGCTTCTCACGGGAGGAGACGTGAACTGAGACTTGAAGGACAAGTTGGAGTTAGCCAGGCGTTGTGAGGAATAGGGTTCCAAGTAGAGGGATCACCACATGCTGAGGCAACAGACGGCTTGATAACCTGGAGCAGTTGTACGCCGCTCAGAGCAGCTGGGATGTGGTGTGTGCCTAAAGAGTGGCAGTAGTTGAGACTAGAGGACCAGATGAATCAAGGAAGGCCACCTGTGCGAAGCAGTGGGGTTAGTATTGACTGGAGTCCAGAGCCATCATATTTGGATCCGATTTACGTTTGGGGAAGATCACTGTGGAGACAGTGTAAAAGTTTAGAATGTGGTGAAATTGGACATTCGGAGATAGTTAAGCTCTTGCTGTCCTACGTTTATTAGCTGTGTTAAAATGATTTATTAACTCTGCCAAGTTTTAGTTTCTTTATCAGAAAATAATTCCTATGGTGCCTTGTGAGAATTGAGGTGTAATGGGAGGCAGTATAGGAATAATGGTTAAAGTGTAGGCTCTGTAGTCAGACTGTCTGGGTTTGAATTTTTGTAACTTTGACCAGTTTTTCATTTTTCCAAGCCGAAGTTTCCCCATCTGTAAAATGCAGCTATTAATAAATAATGAATCTGACAAAAGACTGTCCAGAATATATGTAGAACATTTAGAACTCAATAATGAGACAAACAATCCAACATAAAAAAAATGGGCAAAAGATTTCAACAGACATTTTACCAAAGAAGATATACATGAAAATATGGTCAACATCATTAGATATTAGGGAAGTTATAAGGGAAAATTAAAACCACAATGAGATATCACTAAACATTCACTAGGATAACTAAAGTTAAGAAGACTGACTATATCAAGTATTGGCGAGGATGTGGAGAAACTGGAACTCTCACATGTTGCTGGTTGGAATATAAATGGTCTAAACACTTTGGAAAACAGTAGTTTCTTAAAAACATACCTACCTAAGTGTCCACTGCTAAGCATCCTGATGATTCAAATATAAATAAATCAAAATGTTGTCAAGTAAATTTCTTATGAACTATACACTGATTTACAAATGCCTGGGAAGAAAAAAAGTGTGTGCTGTAAACAAAATGTAAATAAAGTATTTGATACCTTAAAATAAAATAAAAATATACCTACCATAAAAGTCAGCTGTTCTAGGTATTTACCCAAGGGAAATGAAAACATGTCCACATAAAGACTTGTATAAGAATGCCCATAGCAGCTTTATTCATAATCTTAAACTGGAAACAATCCAAATATCCATCAACAGATGAATGAACAAACAAAACATGATAACCATTGAACGAAATGAAATAAAACCAATAAAAAATGAAATACTGATAAATGCAACAAGGATGAATCCCAAAATCATCACACTGAGTGAAAGAAGCCAGATAAAAGCAGAACATACTATATGATTCTGTTTATAGTAAGGTCTAGAAAAGGAAATACATATGTCAGAAAGCAGATCAGTAGTTGACTGAGCCCTGAGATGGAGGGATGGATTGAAGATGGTGCAGGACTGTGCAGTGTTTCATTCTTTTGTACATGGTGTCACCATGAGTTGGAGCTGACTCAAGGGCAACTAACAACAACAACAACAACAAAACAACGTATCTTCTCTTAAATGATCTGTTCTTGTTCCTTTGCCTGTTTGTCTATAGCGGTCCTATTGTTTTATTGTTATTTTCTAAACAAACTCATCACGTATAAAATTATGTCAACCCTTGGACTTGCTGTAAACATTCCCCAAAATTACGGCTTTCTAGTTAATTTTGGTTATGTTCACTTTCTGTATACACAAGTAAAACAATTATTTTATGAAGTCAGATCTATACTTATTTTCTTTGAAGTTTTATTCTTTTTAAAGACCAGACTTAATGATCTGACTGAGACTGGAGGAACCCCAGAAAGCATGGCCCCTGGACTCTCTGTCAGCACAGCACTAAAACTATTCCCGAGGCCAACTCTTCAGACCAAGATTAGACTGGACTGTGGGACATAAAATGATACTCGTGAAGAGTGTGCTTCTTTGCTCAAGTAGATACATGAGACTAAATAGGCAGCTCCTGTCCAGAGGTGAGACGAGAAGGCAGAGAGGGTTAGGAGTTGGTTGAATGGACACGGGAAATCAGGTGGAAAGGAGGATTGTGCTGTCACAGTATAGGGAGAGCAATTAGGGTCACATAACAACGTATGTATAAATTTTTGTATGAGAGACAAATTATAAAATTTCACTTAAAGTACAACAATAAAACTTTTAAAAAATTTTATTTTTTACTTTTAAGCCTAGGATCTTCTCCCCTTTCAGAAATTTGTTAATGACTTACATTTTCTTCAGACTTTTACAGTTTGATATTTTATATATGTGAGTTTATTATATTTTTATATTTAATTTATCTGGAATATGCTTCGGTGTATAGTATGAAGTGAAGAATCTAAACAATTTTCTTCAAATGACTAACCAATTGTCCCAGTACTATTTATTGAATAATCCTTCAAGGATGGACCTCAACAGGTGGGGTGGGGGTGTAGGTTATTTTGGGCAAAGGGAGCATATGTTTCCAGATGGCGCGAAGCCCGGTTTGCCTGGAGCTCAGGGTACATGAGTAGGGAGTAGTGAAAATGGAGTTGGAAGGTGGCTAGATGAGGGCTGTTGGGGAGGGCTTTGAATTGTAGACAGAGAGTTTAGACTTGATTTGAGAGCCAAGGGGAGCCACGGCAGCTGTAGGAACAAGAATGTGAGGCAGTCAGCTCTATGCTTTGAGAAAGTGACCATGACAGAAGACAGCATCAGTGGGCTAGGGTGAGACCTAAGATAGGCCCTCAGTCAGGAGGCAGTACCCATGACACAGAGCCAGCGAGGGCAGGGGCAGCTGGTAGCAGTGTGCTCGTGGAAAGGAGGGAGCCCATGGGGGCCTTTGGGGCAGGTGCACGGACAGGATTCACCAACCGGATGTGGGGACATGAGAGAAAAAGAGTCAAAGTTGAGTTTGAAGTATGTGCTCTGTGTGACTGGGCGAGGGGGCTCACCTTAACAGAAAGGCTTTTCAAGAGGAGCTTGTTTGTTGAATAGGCTATTGACTAGCGAATTAAGCCCCTCAGGAACCTTAAATGCTGAAAATATAGTTCATAATAAAACAGTACAAGCCGGGATGAGCTGCTTTTATGCATTTTTGGAATATCAGATTATTTCCCCAAAAGTCTATTACTTTTGGGTGGCCTTGGTGCAAACGGTTAAGCGGTTGACTGCTAACTGAAAGGTTGGTGGTTTGAACCTACCCAGAGGCACCTTGGAAGAAAGGCCTGGCAATCTTCTTCCAGAAGGTCACAATGGTGAAAATCCTGTGGAGGACAGTTCTATTCCACAGAGGTCTCCATGAGTTGGAATCAACTCGTTGGCAACTGGTGTGGTTTTGTTTTTTTTAAGCACCTGTTAGACTGCCTTTCAGCCAATCCAACGGTAATGAGAATGGATCTAATTATAGGCATATGAAATTTGAAGAACTGGCTGGATGCCCGGGGGAGATGTCCAAACGGCTTTGGGATACAGAGGAGTGGAGTCCAGAAAAAGGACCTGTAGTGGAGATGTGGGTTTGGGAGCCATCGGCTGACAGGTCAAGTTTGATGTTAGGCTCTGAGGTTGTGTTCACCGTGTGCCTGCACCTATATTCCCCACAGGTTTTGGAAATGTGCCCCAGATCACACTGCTCTTAAGAGATGGAGCAGAGACTGGAACTCATGTCTTCTGATTCTAATCCTGTGTCTTTGATGCTGTGCCTCTTTTTTGAGGTGGGGGTGGGAGGGTTGTGGGATGGGGACAAAGCCAGATGTACAGGTGTGAGTAAGTGGATGTGTGGGCTGGAAGTGGACTGAGAAGTTGCTCTGAGTGAAGAATGGTCACTGGCAGAGGGAAGCAGGAGGAAGAATGTTTTGCAGCAGACAGACCTGAGCCAGGCTCTGGGGCTGAGGAGAAGGAGGAGGGGAGAGAGGGGCACAGAGGGCTCAAGACAGGAGCAGTCATTAGGCGAGGGCCTGGGTGGGCACAGGAGATGGAGTCAGCCCCTAGAAAACAGTTGGATACTTTTTCTTCTGAGACCAGGGAGAGTAGAAAGGAGACGCAGGAACTCTCAGGTGGAGAGGAGGGAATTTGAAGAAAGGCTTATGTCTGTTCTAGAGTCCAAGAATAAGGCCAGATACAAAGCAGGAAGTTTCTAGGACCTATGTAGCTTGGGGCTGACCCAGAGCCCCACCCGAGCAGCCCCAGAGTCCTGGCCCCGCACAGCTTTGAGGCT